CAGTAAACTTAATTTATAAAAAATAATAATACAAAAGCTTTAGCATGAAGAAAAGAAGAGTACAACTTTGGGAATAGTCAAAATTACCCAAGATTATAATACTTGTACTCCCTAGGCTTGTTTATGTTTTTTTTTTCCTGCCATATCACACTAAAAATACCTTAAAGATACTTTTTAAATTCATAAATTTAAAAGGCTGGAGAAATCTAACCTTAACAAAATCAACTGGACTCCTGATTTTCTTCTGTAAAATGGGCTATCCTTTCACCTATAAATGAGCCATTCTCTTTGTTTCTACTGGGGGGCCATTGCTTTTATTCTGTAAACCAACCCCCAAGTTTCAATAGATTCACAAATTCCATTGCCAAAACCACAAGTATTCTCAGCTTCAGATTATAATTTCCATTCATCTCTCCACTCTGGTCCGTATTCTATTTGCTTGAGTTTGTACTTTAAGTTCTGCCTAATAAGTCCATCTATCTAACTCTGGCCCTTCCTCTCTGGCACGTCTCTCTTCTCTGCTTCCCAGCTGCCATGAACTAAGCATCTTTCTCTGCCACACCCTGCTGCCATGATGTCCCTGCCTTGGAGCCTGCCAACAATGAACTGAGTTCCCAAAACCAAAAGTCAAGTTATACTTTTCCTCTAAGGTCACAGCAACACACTTTGTTAGAGCTAACTCTTGAAAACTACCCAAATGCCCATCAACAAATGGATGGATAAAAAAAAATTTTTTAATACAATGGCATACTACTTGGCAACAAAGCAGCATAAACTTGAGACATTTATAGCTAAATGGATGGACTTGAGGCCATACTCTTAGAGGGAAATAAATCAGACACACATGTAAATATCATGCTATCGCTCCGGTGTGACAAACTGAAAGGGTAAATAAGAATTAAAATGTATAACAGAAATTATGAAATAGGAAAAAAACTGTTCAAAAGGAAAGAGGAACTAGGAATGGGGGAGGGAAAAGGAGGGAAGAAAAAAATGAGAAAGAAGGATAAAGTAAAAACAAAGATTTTTAAATAAGGAGAGGAAGACAAGTAGGATGGGAGGGGAATGGTGGGAAAAAAGAGGAATCAAGATATATCATGTACAGGGCCAGGAAGATAGCTCAGTGGCATAAGTGCCTGCCTGGTAAGCACAAGGTCTGGAGTCTGATCCCCAGTACTGGGAAAAAAGAAAAAAAAAAAAAAAAGACTACATAAGATATATCACGTACAGGTACAAATTCCCTACAATGAATGTCATCATTATGTATATGTGAATTGTACCAATAAACTTCATAAAAAATAAAACTTTTTGTCCTTTATATTGTGGGTGTTGATGTGTCTCAGCTAATATTGCTCCTTGAAATGACTAAAGAACAACTTTGTTCAACAGTCCTCCTTAATAAATGAGTAAGACAAACAATATGAACAACAGAACTATTCAACAAGAAGGACTGTATCTTTTATCATTTACCCCTTCCCTATACTTTATTACCTTCTTTACCATGTTCCCCTGATTCACTACATGCCAGCTTCACTTCCTCAAGCCGCCTTAAACATGCCAAACATGTCCCTATTTCAGAATCTTTCTACTGCTCCTCCTCCTGGAGCTCTTTCACCCAGATGTCTGCCCGGCTTATTCCTCCCATGTTGCCTTACCAGAGAGGACGGCCTATCATGGGTTACTCCGTCTATATCTCCAGTACTTAGGATACTATTGAGCATATAGTAGTATACTCCCAAATCAAACACTGAGAAATGAAGTCCAAGTTGTATTTCAATTTTCTGAGAATTTAAGTCTTAATTCTACTTTGTTTTCATTGAAACCAATGGAGCTCTACATACAGCATTTCTCTGTTCAATTCTTATGCAGCAGTTTTAGTGAATTCAAAAATTATTCCCAATTCTAGGAGGAAGGAGGTATAAGTGAAAAATGATCAACATGCAATATATATAGCACTAATTCAAGATGCAATATGTATTTGTATCACTAAGTACCATAAACATATTTTAAAAAACACAAGCTGGGCATGGTGGTGCATGCCTATAATCCCAGTACTCAAGAGGCTGGGGCTATGGCCGGGCATGGTGGCACATGCCTGTAATTCCAGCACTCAGATGGCTGAGGCATGAGGATCATTATGAGTTTCAGACCAGCCTGGGCTACAACATAAACTCAAGGCCAGCCTGAACTGCATGACCCTGTGTCAAAACACAACACAACACAACAAAACATATATACAAAAACTCTCAATCCCATTAAATAGTTGTTTTTTGTTTTTTGTTTTTTTGAGACAGGGTCTTATTATGAAGTCTGGGATGGCCTTGAACTCACTGTGTAGCCCATGCTGGCCTTGAACACCATGATCCTTCTGCCTCAGATTCCCAAGTACTGGGATTACAGGCATGTACCACCTTGCTTGGCTCAATTTCAAAAACATTAGATATCCACTGCAGACAATACCATCTTCCTCAATTATTTAATCATCATGTGAAAACAGGGAAGAAGAAATCAAATTCATGCATGTTCTCCAGGCTCCATTTTCCCTAGTCTCCTAATTATAATTAAAGATGTAAATAAACATTTACGTCAACAGATCTCAAGTCCCAACTACTTACTACTTTCTTTTTCTTATCTATCCTTTCCTAGAAGTTATGACAATAAAAATTTATTTATTTATTTATTTATTTTTTGCGGAACCGAGGATTGAACTCAGGCCCTTATGTTTGCCAGGGAAGTGCTTATTCCACTGAGCCATCTCTCCGGCCCCTATAATTCTTTATATATTAAATTTTTAAATTTAATTATAAATTAAACATTTATAATTCTTTAATTCTTCCAACTTGGCCTAGTTGGAAGGACTGCCCATGATAGGCCATCCTCTCTGGTAAGGCAACATGGGAGGAATAAGCCAGGCAGACAATAAGCCAGGCAGACATCTGGGTGAAAGAGCTCCAGGAAGAGGAACAGCTGCAAGAATTCTGAAATAGGGACATGTTTGGCATGTTTAAAGCAGCTTGAGGAAGAAAGTGAAGCTGGCATGTAGTGAATCAGGGGAATGTGGTAGAGGAGATAATAAAGTATAGAGAAGGGGTAAATGATAAAAGATAGAAGGCTGGGAATGTGGCACAGTGATAGAGCTCTTGCTTCGCATGTACAAGGCCCTTGGGTTTGATCCCAAGCACCACAAAAATAAAAATAAAACATATTTAAAAAGTATAGCAGCATTATGATCGAGATCAATAAATTATTTTTACCAAGGAACATATCTAGTACGTATAAGGAAGAGGTCAATTGGTAGCTAAAACTTGAACAAAGGATACTTTTGTGGACAAAGACAAGATTAGCTTGGCCCAATTGGAAGGCAGTCACTGTGGCCGTCTTCTCATCCAGTAAAGCCACTTTGCTAGAGAGAGATCCATTATGTGTAATTCTATGATCTTGCAAGTCCAGTGTATAATGTTCCAGGGGAAATTTCACCTCTATAAGACATGAAAGACACATAAATGTAACGGCAACAGCCATTCCAGGTGGTACTTAAGAGAATGATTTTAAGCAAGCCGAAAATAGAGCATGACCTGCTTCTCCCACCATAAATTTCTACAGAGAGCCACTTGGCGACAGGTGATAATACTTGAGTTGGTTGTTGGTATTGCTTGTATTCTTTACAACTAGCTATCTAAATAGCAGGTGGGAATACCATTTGATTAGTAAGGAAAAGAGGTAATGTACATTTTATATACTCAATAGGGCTGGGAAATAGCTCAGCAGCATAAGTGCCTGCTCAGCAATTGCAAAGTCCTGAATTTGATCCCCGGTACAAAAAAAAAGAAAGAAAAATTGACCTGAACAAACTCAATGGGACTTCGGGGGTCAATAAGAGTGATTAGCTTTTGGCTAAGGAACTGAGTCACTCGAGACAACTTTTGCAAAGATCAATAATCATTCAAGTCCCTTCACTTGCCCCACAAAGGGAGAAAATTTCTGGTTGTTGTTTTACTTTATTTTTATTATTTTTGTTTTGGTACCAGGGATTGAACTCAGGACCTTGTGTTTGCCAGGCAGGCACTTATGCTGCTGAGCTATCTCCCTGGCCTTGGTGGTTGTTTTAGTAGAGAATTCAGATGCCTATGGGCACTGAAGCTAAGTAGCCCAAATATGTCATGAACCTGTTCCAAGACATGGGGATTATTTCTTCCTAGTATTAGTTCAAGTACAGTGGGGACATGGGGATTATTTCTTCCTAGTATTAGTTCAAGTACAGTGGGTAAGAAGCACTTTGTCATAAAATCTCTCTCTCTCTCTCTCTCTCTCTCTCTCTCTCTCTCTCTCATTCTCTCTCTCTCTTTGAGACAGGGTCTCTTATGTAGCTCAGGATGGCCTTGAGCTCACTTTGGAGCTCAGGCTGGTCTTCAGAATGGATCCTCCTGCCTCAGCCACCACACCCAGGCCTTTTTATAAAATCTTTAAAAAACAAAGAACTATTTTTCATATATATGAGAATGTTGCTTGTTTTGTTATCAACAGAAAGAACTTGGGAAATGTGAATCATAGGGAAAGATAAAGCACCTTACCTGTTATTCTTCCCTGAACCATTTTTGCAGCTTGGTACTTGATATATGCTCCTACTAAGAGATAAATATCATGGGATGGTATAAGAAAGATATTCTCCAAAACAAGGAGACGTATCATTGCGGATGCCACTTTCTAAAAGAGAAAGAAAAAAAAAATATATATATATATATATACTATAGTTATACTACTAGTTTGTCTTCATGCATTGAAAAGAAATGTTTGTGTTAGTATCATTTGGAGAACTGTTTATGCCCATGTCTTGTACTATGAGTAACTACTTTGAAAATAACAAAATAACAATATGAAGTGTATTAACTATAGCTATTCTATTATTTTTGTTATGAATTTTTATTTTTTCCATAAAATAAAAAAAGAAAGAAAAAAGAGAGAGTAAATGTTTCCATAGCCAAAATCCTTAAGGCCATCTTCCTTATTAAAATCTCATGTCTTAAAAGTTTCTTTTAAAAATTTAATCAAGATTTAGAACCAGGCATGGCACATGCCTGCAATCCCAGCACTAGGGAGACTGAGACAGGAGGATCACTACAAGTCTAAACTGTGTAGTGAGACTCTGTATCAAAAAAGAAAATTGAAAAGATGCTCTTTCCTAATCACATGTCATAATTTTAGTTACCCTGAAAAGTGATCATAAATCATGAAGTCATTCAGACTAAGAATAACAAAATGAAAAGGATAAATGAGAAGTCAGGTGTGGTGGTGCATGCCTGTAATCCCAGCACTCGGAAAGCTGAAGCAGGAGGCTTGACTCAGATTCAAGGCCAGCCTGGATTACACAGTGAGTTCAGGGCCAGCAGGAACTACACAGCGAGACCCTGCCTCAAAAAAACAACAACAAAGAAAAAAGTTCTTCAAACAAATGATGAACTGTTGTTTAAAGGGCTTCTACTGTATGTTGGTTGGTTTGCTCTTTTTTAGTGGAACCAGGGGTTGAACTCAGGCCCTTGCCCTTGCCAGGCAAGCATTTATTCTACTAAGCCATCATTCCTGGCTCCCTCTACTGTATGATGTTTTTGTTTTTGTTTTGGTACCAAGAATCAAACTGAGGACCTCACTCTTGCCAGTTCTACTATAGATAAACATAAGAAACTATATTTTTCATAGAAGAAAGATTATTAGATGGGGGCCAGTGAGACAGCTTGGTGGTCTAAGTGCCTGCCTGGCAAGTGCAAGGACCTGGGTTCGATCCCTGGTGCCACATGCCATGCTGGCCCTATACCGAGCTGGCCACTGAGTTCATGTGTGGTGGCACATGTCTGTAATCCCAGAGCTGGGTAGGCTATGAGAATCACTACGAGTCTGACCTGTGTAGTGAGACCCTGTACCAAATTTTAAAAAAAGAAAGATTATTAGATAGAAGTTTTTAAGTTTATAGTACAAACTTTTTACCTTATAGAATGGTTCATAAATTCGGACTTTTACAGCAGCAATACCAGTTCTAATACCAGACACCAAAATCATATCTCCTCGTTTTTCTTCTTTTTCCATCTCAACTATATAGCCTGGGGGAGAATATTCTGCTTCAGAGTATTTCAGAATCCTAAAGATATGAAACAAAATCTGTTTTTAGAAGAATCAATAATATCTTCCTCCAAAACCCCTAGGAGGTTTTTAACATAGTTTATCTCTTCTTTTTTCTCTATACAAGGTAGTTTTAAAACTTCTATTCTCCACAAGGACTATAAAGTAAGTATTTAATATGCTTGTGGCTAGAACTGTAGAACTAACACTGGTGTGGTCCGAGATCTGTTCCTTGGTTCTGAAATTTCACAGTATTCTACTCATTCTTTTGCAGTATGGGGAGACCCTCTCAAACAGCAAGACTGCCAGATAATATACCAGGCTCAAGTAACTGTATAGCACTACACTCAGACTCAAATTAAGTTACTAGAAAGGTACATGTGTACACTGTGCGCCATTCTATCAAAGCTATTTTCTCTAGTACATTTACTGTTTCAAAAAAGTCCAGACAATAAGATTATCAAAGTTCACATGCATGGGAGGAACTCAGTGCACCATCAACGGCAGAGGTCTCCTTCAAAGTGCGGGGATCTGCGTTTGATTTCAAGCTTACCTAATTCTGCTAGACAGTTCTTCTCTTGCCGACTTGTCATCTTGAGCAATGCTCCACTCAAACATCATTCCTGCCAAACTGCTAAAAGTATTTCCTGTAGAGCAAGCCAAAAGCAGATAAGGTATAATCATGTATTCAAAAAATTTCAGCTACCTGCAACAAGAAAGGGAAATCTAACTAGAAAATTATGTCAGATCTCTTTCTGAAGCAATTACAAGCACTATAATAGATTAAAAGTATTTTTGAGGACTATCTCTACAAAATGTTATATTCTGAGGCTGTACACATGTTCCAAAAGGAAAAAAAGAGTCAAGCTGATTAACTTCTGGTTGACAAAATTATGCTACATTTCTTCTGTACATTTATTTATTTATTTATTTTTGCAGAATCAGGGATTTAACTCAGGCCCTTGCACTTGGCAGGCAAGTGCTTATTCTACTGAGCTATCTCCCTGGTCCCCATCTTCTACACATTTTTAAAGAAAAGCCTCTTTCATGGGCACCCTAAATCCATTAACATACATTTTCATAAAATAAGATTCCAAAATAATTCATTTTTTAGATTTAAAAAAATTACTCTTAATGGTTTACAGAGAAAGGGCAATAAAATTAAATGTTTTAAGGGCCAGTACTCTGGAGGCTGAGGCAGGGGGACTGCTGTGAGTTTGAGACCAGTTTAGGCTACATAGTGAGTTTAAGGCCATCTTATACTACATTGTGAGACCTTGTTTTAAAAATAAATTAAAACAGGGCTGGTGAGATGGCTCAGTGGTCTAAAGCACCTCCTTGGAACAAGCTTGGCAAAGCACAGGGACCACGGTTCAATCCTCCAGCACCACATGCCAGCCAGCCCGACCCCTGGTGGGCTGAGCTGGCCACACACACACACAAATTAAAAATAAATAAATAAATAAATAAATAATAAAAATAAATAAATAAATTAAAACAAACATGGGCTGGCCAGGTAGCTCAGCAGATTAAAGTGCCTGCTTGGGCAGATGCAGGGGCTGGGGATTCAATCCCCAGCCTGCCATGCCGGCCCCACCCCCACAGTGGTATGCACCTGTAATCCCAGCACTTGGGAGGCTGAAAACAGGAGAATCACTACATCTGATCTGTGTAGTGAGACCCTGTAGACCCTGTACTAAAATACATGAAAAAACAAACTAACTAGCTAAGTATCGAGGATTATGGTTGTGCACCAGTATGCCTTGCTTTGGCAGGGCTGGGGATGTGGCTCAGTGGCAGAGCTTTTGCCTTACATACATGCACAGGCTCTGGGTTTGTCCCCAACACCACAAAAATAAAAAGAAAGAGGTAGGGAGATAGCTCAGAGGTCTAAGCCTCTCTCTACCTGGCAAGCAAAAGGGCCTGGGTTTGATCCCTGGTACCGCTTGCCCTGCTGGGCCCGTGCAGTGATGGCCACCAAAACCAGGAGTGATGGTGCACACCTGTAATCCCAGTGCTGGGAAGGCTGAGACAGGAGGATCACTATGAGTCTGAGCTGCATAGCAAGATCCTGTACCAAATAAATTTAATTTTTTTTTTTTTTTTTTTTTTTTTTTTTTTGGTGAAACTGGAGATTGAACTCAGACCCTTGCGCTTGCTAGGGAAGCACTTAAGCACTTATTCCACTGAGCCATCTCCCAGGCCCCCCAAAAAATGATTTTTAAAAATCAAAATAAATAAATACTTCCTTATCAACATGATTTCCAAATCAAAAAATAAGTCTTATTCCCAATCTGCTTTTATCACTAAAGTTCCTGTTTCCAAGGGGTAAAGATAAATGCATGTTGCTTTATTTCAGATTGTTTTGTTGAATCTTGTGACGCTCTTTACCTTCAGCATCCAGTGCCCTCACTATCAGTTCCAGAGGAGAATCATCTACATAGAGTTCCCGGGTCCGAGATATAATTTCAATGCTGTTTATCACATCAACCTTCACATCACAGCGTAGTTCATGGTCAGTCACTACAATGCACAAAAAGGCTGAGTATCGGATCCAACACATCACAGATCTATTAGATATCTCAAATTCTCAAAGCTTGTTCCAAAGGGTTGTTTTGGGTTTTTTTTTTCTATGTAGTTTAGGCTGGCCTCAAACTCACAGTGACCCCCTACCTCAGCCTCTCAAGTGCTGCGATTATAAAAATGTGTCTAGAGATTATTAAAAAAATAAAAATAAAAAGGACTGTAATGGCTGCTTTTAATTGTGAAGAAAACAGCAAGACAAGATCTAAGAATCTCTGTTTATAACAAGACACTAGACCACAGTTCCCAAACATCCATCCATGATGTTTTTACTCATCCATGGAGAAATGCAAAAAACAGAAGTCTTTGAAATAGTGATATCCAGATGTGGTGGTGCATGCCTACAACCCTAGCACCCAGGAGGCTGGGGGAGGGGGATCACTGCCAGTTCAAGGCCTTCTTGAACAAATAGTGAGACCTTATAAGAAAAATAAATAAGTGATGAAATTAAATTGTATTTAAAATATTTGGGGCTGGTGAGATGGCTCAGTGGAATAAGCCCTTCCCTGGCAAGCTCAAGGACCTGAGTTCAATCCCCGGTTCTACAAAAACAAATAAAATATTTGGGGCTGGTGAGATGGCTCAGTGGTCT